TGCTTCACCCCCACTGAACACTGAGACCAGTAGAATGGCCCCACCTCTACTCCAGATGGTGCTTCTGTATCTCAAGATCTCAGAGACTTTTCATGGTATCTTATTTTATTGTAATTCAAGCATTTCTCAGTTTAAAGTGCTTCACCCCCACTGAACACTGAGACCAGTAGAATGGCCCCACCTCTACTCCAGATGGTGTTTCTGTATCTCAAGATCTCAGAGACTTTTCATGGTATCTTATTTTATTGTAATTCAAGCATTTCTCAGTTTAAATTATTATTATTATTAGAGAAGTAATACATATTCAAGATAAAAATTGAGAGTCTCCTTAACCTTTCCCTACCTGTATCCCACCCAATTACCCTCTCTCTCTTCCCTCCCTACCACTGACCCCTGTTAATAGATTGGTGTAGATACTTCCAGATCATGTAAAAAATGCACTGACAACATACATTGCATGGAAAATATATGTGCATTGTGCATTATAGACATAGGTATATTTCAAATGAATGTGATCATGCTATACATATTGCTTATAACTTGCTTTTTCACTTAATGACACATTTTGGAGATTTCTTCCTATATTTTCTATCTCATTTTAATAAGCATGGTAAAATGTTCTATAACAGGGGTCAGCAAACTATGGCCTGAAGCCAAATTTAGCCTGCTGTTTTTATAAATAAATTTTTATTGGAACACAGCTTTGCCCTACAATGGCAGAGTTGAGTCGTTGCAGCACAGCCCTATGGCTTGCAAAGCCTAAAATATTCACTACCTGACCCTTTATTTAAAAAGTTTGATGACTATTCTATAGTATAATTATGTGATCATTTATTTGACTACTTCTCATTGAAAGATACTTAGATTTTTTCCCCCATTTTTTCCTCTTATAAACAATGCTGCAATGAAGATCTTTGTACACATATTTTTGTATACATGTGAGAATATATCTGGATAGTAGATTTCCGAAAAGTAGAACTTCTCTGCGTATGCCTTTTCATTTCACTGGGGCTTTTGCAACCAACTTTTCCAAATATATGTAAGCTTTATTTATGCTTAGAAGTTATAGTACAATCTTAGGGCTTATTGTTCCTTTGAGTTTTTGTTTAGTCTGTTAGAGTTGCTGTATTTGCAAGCTACAGGCAGAAACGTGTTCAGTGCGTGGAAAGATAGAAACTGTAGGGACGCTGTTTTAGGGAAGGTCACAGATTTTACTGTCAAAAAAATCTAGGAAAAAATCCAGCTGTGACTATAGGCAAGTTACTTAATTTTCCTGAGCTTCAATTTCTGCATTTGCAAAATTGTCATGAGGTTGAAAGCTAATGTATGCTAAATGTCTAGTAGAGTGTGTATTCAATTAATCACAGCTATTGTTACATCACTTCCACTAATATGAAGAAAGAGATGAAGATAGGAAGAGAAGAAGGAAGTTAACATACATTGAATCTCTACTATATATGCCAGCTGCTCTATAATTATCCATTCATTCCTTCGAGGTAGGTTTTATTTACAGTTTATTCCCTGCTCCTTTTCTGCCTTTGTGCCTTTTCACCGAGGTCATAAACAGTCATGACAAATGCTATGCCAGAGGTAATTACTGAATGCCATGGGAAGATAGATGAGGGAATGACTCAAAGGCCATAGAGAGGAGGCAACGTTTGAGCTGGGTCTTAAAGGCTCAATAGGAGCTTGAGAGACAGAGATGAGCAATGATTTTATCATTTATAACATAACAGGCTTTAATTGTCAGCTCTTAGAACCCTTAACCAACTCTAATGTTTTTTCTCTAACTTTCCCATTTTAGAAAATTAAAGCCATATTTCACCTCCTTGACATTATTTTACCTAAGAATGGTGAAACAGTCCATGTCCTAAAGCATAGAACCTGAGCAAATAGAATTTAAATACTCCAGAGAAGGAAATAGGGGAAAATATTTCTGGAGAGGTATTAGGCTAGGGAAAAGTAAGTATCATTTGTGGAGTGCCTACTATGTGCTATCAACTTTACTTCTGCTGTAATACTCTCATTTAGACTTCACAGAAACCATGAGAGGTACGTATTATTGTGTCTGTTCTTCAAATGAAGACAATGAACTTCAGAGAGCTACTAGGATGTGTCCAGAGTCACACAGCTACTAAGTGGCAAAGCAGAAATTAAACAGGAGTCTCTTCCTGACTTTCAAACTGTGTCCCCTCCAACATCTCATGCTGCCTGGAAGATAGGGGCCTTTCTGAAGATTAGATTCTCAACCTTAGCACCATGAGTTAGAGCCAATATTTCAAACTTATTATTTTTAGCAGCACAGCCCTTTTCTGAAGTATGCTAACAGTAACAACAATAGCAATGTCTATTCAGTACTTAATATATGCTAAGCAGTTATAACTCCTTTACATGTTTTTTAACTCATATTTAACTTATGAGGGTGATAGTATTATTAACTGAGTTTTACAAATGACTATACTAGGGCACAGAGAGGTTAAATGATTTGCCTGAAGTCACACAGTTAGATTGGCAGAGCTGAGAAATGGGCCCAGACTATCTGGTTCCTATGCTCGGATTCATGGTAATTATGTATATTCCTCTCTAACTTATTCAACAAATATTTAGGGGTGCCTCCTGTGAGGGAGCACTGTTCTAGGTGCTGAATTGGGCTGTCTGGATATTCTGGTTAAAGGGAAACTTGGGACCCAGGCCCAGCCCGTTAGTCTCTCAGTGTTACCCGAAGTGACCCGTAAGGTGCTTCGAGGAACCCTAGGGCCCCACAGAACACAGCTTGAGAAACCACTGCTTGACCTACCAGCTACAACGTCTTCCAGAGGATATTTTATGGTATCGTCGCCTTTCCATAGCTCTCTCCCAGAAGTTGTCTTTTCAATTTAGGTACAATATCCTGACCCAGGAAGAAGCTCAGAGTGTGTACGATGCCAAGTATTATGGGGGCTGGTGTGAGACGGTGTACAACGGGAAATGGAGGGAGCTTTGGTACGACCCCACCTGTGAGCATCTCTACTATAGAGATGATGAGAAGTACTTTCAGAAACCCTACAACTTCCTGAAGTACCACTTTTCAGTGAGTCTGAACAGGGACATTCCCAGGCCACTGTTGTGTGGGTGGCAGCGAGGAAGAGGCCTGTTGGTGGCGATGCTGTGCTCTGGAGGCTTCTGTTTGCTGCAGAGCTTACTGGTGGCTGAAGGCCCCCTTCCACCTGCCCCACACACGCTCAGAGTTGAAGGGCGCTGAGAGGCAAGGCCAGTGAGAGGCATGACGTAAGTGTGGCCCCCCCACCTGTTAAATCTCGGCTCCATTCCAAAATCGGCAACATAGAGCTGGGCCCTGTTCTCTGGGCTGCTAGTCAGAAGACCTGTTTCCAACTTGTGGCTCTGTTAGATTATAACTGTATAAAACTTTGAGCAGCTTACTGTCCCTCCGTGGGCCCAGTTTCCTAATCCGTAAAGTGGGGGGCACGGTGGGGCATAGCTGGGCTGCGTTCTGAGACCTGTGTCCTTGCTTCATCAAGATCGGTTCATGCTGATTCTTTTCATATCTTGGTTATTTGTATACGATTTTGTTTGAAGAAAGGATTCTTCTTTTCAAAGTGCTCGTGAATTGCTGATGATCCCGAAGACTCTCTCCATCTCTAAAATTCTGAGGTCTCCTGGTCACTTGCAGCATCACATATCTCACGGTCACTTCCAGAGCCTGTTTGTGGCCATTCATTTCTTTACCCTTCATCCTTTGGGTGAGGTATTCACACAGCAAACTTCACTGAATGCTTATCATGTGTCAGATCTACTTCCACATGAATTCTCCCATTTAATCCTTACAACACGATGTGATAGATATTATTATTGTCTCATTATATACATATATATATATATAGATAGATATATACATACATACATACACACACACATATATAAAGACCTAAAGGGATAAAGTGTCAGTCTGAAGCTGTACTGAAGTAGGTGGTAGAGACAAGATTCAAACCCAGATCTGTCTGAACCATCATTTAGAATAGGGGATCAAGGGCCGGCCCGGTGGTGCACTGCTACAGTGCGCCGCTTGGGAAGCGCGGCGCGGGTTCGGATCCCACATACAGACCGGTTCCCGCTCACTGGCTGAGCGAGGTGTGGGCACAGCGCCGAGGGTTGCAATCCCGTTGCCGGTCCCGGTCCGGTACGGGCGCGACACTGAGGGTTGCGATCCGTTGCCGGACACGAAAAAAGACAAAAAGGAGAAAAAAAAAAAAAAAGAATAGGGGGACACGAAAAAAGACAAAAAGGAAAAAAAAAAAAAAGAATAGGAGATCAATTATACACATGACATCTATACAATCATACACATTATATCTACAGAGAGAGATGGTAGGATCCCAGGATTCTGAACAATTATCTAGTCACAACTTCCCATCCCCCAAGTTTCTCAAGAGAAAAATATTGGCAGAGGTTAAGGCCAGGCTTATGGGGTATGTTTTTAAGAAGTTTTCTCCCCAACCCCATGCCCATCTCTACCCCATATCAGGCCTCTCTATGGTTAGCCAAGCTGGAAAGCACAGATGACACCATTTTCCTCATCTTGAGGAGGGCCTAGGGCGTATATGTCAGGCATGATAGGCTAGGCCATGCTGTGGGAACAAAACATTCTCCATGCTCTGTGGCTGGAAGCAGCAACACCTTACTTATGCTGCTTGTCCATCCTGAGGTGGAAAGGCATCTCTGTCATCACAGACACTCAGGGACTCAACAAATGGGGCTTCATTTCAACACACGCTCTCACAGTTGCAGAGCAAACTCTTTGTAGGCTCTTAAGACGTGCTTCAGTGGCTCCAGCAAGGCACAAGACCATGCCTCAGTACAAGTCAGCAGAGTGATGCAACCCTGTTGTGTGCCTGGAATGAATGGAACATTTGTGGGCAGCACGAAAGCATACCACTGCCTAGGACAGTCATATAATCTGCATAGCTTCCTTTACCCCTTTCCTCCCAGGGTCATGCTCAGATGTGGCTTTATGTATCTCACCATTGCAGAGGCAAGCAGCCTTCTGTCCAGGAAAGATAAGCAAGCCACAAAGAAATCCATGCTCAGAACAAAAGGCACGTATTAGAATTGTGTGTGTGGTGTAAATAAATATTTTAGCAGTACCACTAAACACTACACTGCTGTCTTTTCTGTATTTTAGTGAGTATCAATCTAATGCCTGGATTAGCCCTTTAAAAGAATTTCTTACAATAATCTAAAATTTTAGATATTTTATAAAGCAAAGATTTAAATATTAAATATGAATTGAAAAATAGCTCTATGTGCACAAAGCTAACATCTATTTGTTTTTGTTTTTTTTCAGGCCCGGGAAGATACTGGAATCTCCTTGGAGTTGTACGATGATGGAAATGACCTTCTTTCTAAAGTAAAAAATGACAAGTCTATGTCAACTGGAATGACCATTGGCATAGGCCCCACAGGCAAACCTGCAGTGGTGGATCTGGGTGTGTCCAGGTCAGAAGACACTTCCTTGTTGAATAAGTTAAGCAAGTATAATGAGAAGGTATTAAGAAACACTGCCAGTGTCTTGCAGTATTCCATAATCTATGTTGAACGTGTATTACTTAATTGCATTAAAAAGTACAGTAGTAATTGAACCTTAATTTGCTTGTGTAATTGGAAATGGCTGATCAGTGGTAATCATGCTTGTTTTTCTTACTAGGTTTTGTACACAGAATCATCACAAAGGGAATAAAATAGAACGATAAGATTAGAACTCTTATCACTTCACCCCTTCCCATCCTTTTGCACGGTTACGTGGGGCATATAGGGAAATATGTAGAATAGTAATGTGTTAACGAGAAACAGCAAGGGGGCCAGTGCAAGCTGGTAAAATCTGACCTTGAAGAATTCTAAAGCAAGCCTCACTTTTCTCAATAGATAAGAGGGCTGGCATCCTCCATAAATCTTTCATTTATCCATCAAGCATTCACCCCTAAGTGCCTGTTATCCTGAGGTATCAGGAAATGCTTTCTTGAGGAAGGGCCACCCATCTAAGCTGAGATCTAATGACTAGTACAAGTTGCCCGGACAAGGGGAGACAGAGGTTGACAGAGAGTATTCTGGGCATGGGAATCAGCATGTGCAAAGGCCTGGAGATGAGAGAATGCTGCACACAAATGTGAAATTGAAAATACTTCAGGTGGCTGAAGCACAGGGTGGGAAGGGGAAGAGGGGAGTGATGAGGGTGGAGAGGTAGCCAAGGGACAGAGAAATATTTATTGAATTGGTTAGAAGTATACCAAGTAGTCTCAATAACATTGATACCAAGACTATGGATATACTTGGGGTTCAAAAAATTATCTTGGACAATGAAAATACAGTTATAAAAATTAATTTATTCAACAAACATAAATTGAGTTCTGGAGCTTTGCAAAAATTACATTGATCTGAAGGGGAAGTATCATTCTGAGGTCTGGTTGTAACATGTTAATATGTACTTTTCTCAAAGCAGGTGTCCTCTTCAAAATGTCATTATCACTTTGAATTAAGGTTTATACTACTTGGAAGTAATAATGCCCATAGATGGCTGTTTTCCTTTAAAACAAATCCAACAGCCCCCTGATGCTATCTTTTACTTATTATATGAAGATCCTACTTTTCTTCATTACTTAATAGTACAAGATTACCACTGGAATGTGATGGATTTTGGACGTGACCAGCGCTATTGTGCACACAATAAGCACAAAATAGCTGCCGGCTTTGTCTTCCATTCCAGCACCAAACCCCTCCCCCCCCTCCTTTTACAAGAAGCCTCCTGACTTAAACAGAAACACTTTTGCTTCTGCAAGGGTGCAATTCTCCACCCTGGTTGCCTAGTNTGAGGGTGGAGAGGTAGCCAAGGGACAGAGAAATATTTATTGAATTGGTTAGAAGTATACCCAAAAGTCTCAATAACATTGATACCAAGACTATGGATATACTTGGGGTTCAAAAAATTATCTTGGACAATGAAAATACAATTATAAAAATTAATTTATTCAACAAACATAAATTGAGTTCTGGAGCTTTGCAAAAATTACATTGATCTGAAGGGAAAGTATCATTCTGAGGTCTGGTTGTAACATGTTAATATGTACTTTTCTCAAAGCAGGTGTCCTCTTCAAAATGTCATTATCACTTTGAATTAAGGTTTATACTACTTGGAAGTAATAATGCCCATAGATGGCTGTTTTCCTTTAAAACAAATCCAACAGCCCCCTGATGCTATCTTTTACTTATTATATGAGGATCCTACTTTTCTTCATTACTTAATAGTACAAGATTACCACTGGAATGTGATGGATTTTGGACGTGACCGGCACCATTGTGCACACAATAAGCACAAAATAGCCACCAACCTTATCTTCCACTCCAGCACCAAACCCCTCCCCCTCTTCCCTTTACAAGAAGCCTCCCGACTTAAACAGAAACACTTTTGCTTCTGCAAGGGTGCAATTCTCCACCCTGGTTGCCTAGTTTCCACATTAGCATAATGTCCCTCCTTGATGGTATCAGCCAGCCCTTGGTGCCCTATATAAGCTCTACCACCCCTGCACCTGGTTCTGCCTTCCATTTTGAGGGCAGCCCTGGGCTGCCTGTCACTTTGAGTGAAGCCCGGGAGATTCTTTTCCTTTAATAAAAGTTTGAAAAGTACTTGGAGTCTCAGCTCACTTTCCTTCATTATGGTGCCGAAACCCAGGAAGGGTTTTGGCCAACATTGTTGGATGATCCCCTCTCTCTTGGGGTGATTAGCCCTCAGCCACCCTTCCCGGACCCTGCCAAACTGGGTACACTCAGGAATCTCTCCTTTTGCCATTTTAGACCAAAGCATCCAACGTTGGCCTCAATTCAGGGTGAGTCAGTGGGTCTGTCCTGCCTACTTCTACAAGTTCCCCTGAATACTTGCTATGACTCCAGTCTCTATGAAGCCCAAACGCCTGGCCGAGGGAACTTTTCTCATGCCCCCCAGCTATTGGAGGATGCTCCATTAGCTGGTCGGTGGCTTCTCGCTCAAAAAGAAGATGCACACCAAGGAGGATGCTCCTTGGCAGCATTCTTCTTCTACCAGGACTGCCTGTTCCCTTTCTCACCCTCTACATGGGATCCCCACAATCCAAATCTCTGCTCTCTACTGTACTCCACACTCTATGCCTCTGGGCCATCTCCTGGCCAATTTCTTGGCCTCCAGGGAAGCATTAAAACTCGAATGCCTCATTAAATGGATCCCAATGGCCACAAGAGGCCACTCTCAATTTAGATACTCACTGAAGGGGCAAGACGGAGAGATTCCTTTATGTTCAGGCCTTCTTCCATCTCTGAACGCATTCTTCTCTCTGTCAAAACTGTCCTACATCTCAAATTCTCCTAGCTCATGCTCGACCTCCCCTTCCAGACTTGGATCAATCCTCTGATCTGTCAGACTACTCTGCTACCCGTGCGGGCCACCTTGACTACCTCTGTATGCTCCAAATCCTTCACCAGCCCCTCCACATTTCCCTCTCTTCCCTCTATCTGGTCTCGAGATG